GAATGGACAGTGGTGAGGGCTGCCCAAACTGACAGGTGTCAGCAGTGTCACTGAGCTGTTGTTGTTGTAGGTGCCATCAAGTAGGCTCCGACCCACAGCACCCTTACGCACAACGAAACACTGCCTGGTCCTGCGCCATCATCCCTGTACCTGAGCCCACGGTTGCAGCTACTGCGTCCATCCATCTCCCGGAGGGCCTTCCTCTTTGTCCCCGCCCCTCCACTTTACCAAACACGAGGTCCTTCTCCAGGGACTGGTCTCTCCTGACAACATGTCCAAAGTCTGTAAGACAGTCTCGCCTTCCTTGCCTCTAAGGAGCACTCTACCCGTACTTCTTCCAACACAGGCCGGTTTGTCCTTGATCAGTGCACGGCACTTTCAATCTTCCTCTCCAGCACCGCCGTTCACCTGCCCTGATGCGCCTTCAGTCTTCCTTATTCAACGTCCAACTCTCACATGCGTGGGAGGCAATGGAGCACACCATGGCCTGGGTCAGGCGCACCTTAATGAGCCGTCTGGTCACCGGGCTATCAGTGTACAAACTGGTAACTGGCAAGTATTTGTTATCCAAGCATGCTTTTTCTGCTGCTGCTGTCCGGAGCCTCTGAGGTGGCCCAGTGGGGTGGAACAGAGCTCAATTTACGGGCCGCCTTCTTTACAGAGACACACCACCAGGTCTTTCTCCCGGTGAGCAGAGTCAGTTCGAACCTTTCCGTGAGCAGCTGGCGCTGGGGCCCCTTGATCTGAATCTCACCACTGTGAAAGCAGCAAACAGGCGGGGAAGTGGAGGAGTCCCTGTACTTCTCCGTCATCTAAAACAGGTCTAGAAATGGCAAGATACTGATGGACACTAAGCCAGGCTTACCCCACCCACCCCACCCCTCACTCAGCCCTCCTGCTGGGGGGGACAAGCATGGCCACAGGATAAGGTGCTAAGAATACACGCCAGGAGGGGATTCAGGTTGCACACACAAAGCACCTCGCCAGTGACCTGCACACCTGGCAGAGGCTTCTCTCCCCCACGGCAGCCCAGCCAAAGGCATCCGGGAGGGGCTGCAAGAACAGCCGCCGCAGGTGGCATCGCTAGAGCCCCTTTTTAGCAGCACGAGGGTCTCCTCAGACAGACAGGTCCTGGGGGAGCGGTAGGTGCACTGGCCAGGAGGCGAGCCGGGTCTCCCCCTGGAAAGCGACAAGTCCTCCCTGAACCAAGGAAGGTGCTCCCTGCCTGGGGCGAGGTGGCTGGGACGGGACAGTCTAAGGCCCAGGTGCGAGGAGCTCAGGGCAGGCTGAGACCCTGGTCTGCAGCAGCACACACTGACCTCCGCAGGAGGCTGTGTCCCTGTCAGCCCCAGGAAGGCCACGGGGGCAGCAGAACGAGCTCAGTCCACACTCTGGAGCTTTGTAAACACAGACACACGTGGACGAGATGTGTGCACCGTCCACTGCGTCCCTCTGGGCTGTGTCCACTGTGAGGCTCTGGGGCAGTGGCGACACAGCCAGCACCTTTTGAAATCTAGTCCTCCGGAATCGGGAGGCCGGGCTCCACTCCCAGGGCTGGGTAAAGGGCGTACAGGGTAGCGGGGTTATCTCAAGGAGGAAGCGGGCACACAGGAAGGGCATGGGCCACGCTGAAGGTGCTCTCAGGGCAGGAACCAAAAACTCCAAGCTCACTGCCACCAAGTCGCTGCCGACTCCTATCGACCCTATAGACAGGGTCAGGCTGCCCCGTGAGTTTCTGAGACGGTCACTCTTCATAGGAGTAGAAAGCCCTGTCTTTCTCTCATGGAGCGGTGGGTGGTTTCAAACTGCTGACCGTGCAGTCAGCGGCCCGACAAATAACCACTACACCACCAGGGCTAGAAGCCTGAATTTAGGGCACCAGCTCCAGGGGAATGCTTTCACTCTGCCAGTTCTGGGGGGAGGCCTTTGTCATTAATTGTCCCCTGGGTCTAGGAGGTTCTCAGCACATGGCACCTGGCTCCAGAGGCACCGCTCTGCTACCTTAGTGCTGGTAGGTCCCTCTGACCTCTGTAGGCTTGTTTCCTAGCCTCAAGATTCAAGAGACGTACTCCAAATGCCTCAGCCTACCAACTGTACCCTGCCTTATTCACACAAACACCACTAATTCCGCCTCATAACATAGCTAATCTGGCTCCTTTCCTTAATAGTACATCACCACCACCTACCAACCCCACTGCCAGTAGGTGGATGCCAACTGACGGTGACTCTGTACTGGATTTCAGAGACTGTCGATTTTGAAGGGAGCAGGGCAGACAGCCTCCTCTCTCTCCCGAGGAGTGACTGGCAGGTCCGAACTGACAGCCAAAGCCTGGCCCACAGTGCCACCGGGGCTCCTTAGATGGCGAGATTTACGCCACAGAGGATGGTTATATCACATCACAAAGTGGGGGTGATGGCCGTATACTGAGACTCATGGCCAGGCCCAGGGAGACCAAGGGCAGTCCCCAGTGGTGAGGCGCCACCACACCGGGGTTCACCATGAGGAAGGGGACACGACAACATCACCGGCCCGCACGTGGACAACCACAAAGAGACCACATGTTCTACAAAGTGCCAGGGTCAAGGCCAGGGCTCTGCAGGGCTTCCTGAGTGAAAAACAGAGTAGGAAGAAAGGCCCAGAGATCAGCCTCTAACCACCCTGGGATCCCGGGGACCCCACCTACACCTGACAGTGCGGAGGTGCCAGGGCCAGGCAACCTTCTGCTGAGGGGCTGCCATGGGGGCTGTAATCCGCAGCCTGTAACTGGCACACGGGCCTCTGCCCGCCCAGCAGGAGTGACTCCAGAGGCCAGCCACAGACAGCAAGACATTATTAACATGCAGAGCGCTCTGGGTGCAGGCGGGAGACGACTGGCAGGAACCCTCTGTACCTTCCGGCCAGTCTTTCTGTACTTCTAAATCTGCTCTAAAAATTAAAGCACTTTTAATAAGAAAAATGAAAAGGAAGT